TAATGAGGTAATTATAAAAGACTGAAAAAGAACGGTAACATTAAATTACAAACATACAATTTAATAAAAAAATACGTCATAGGTTTCAGAGAGTTATTTTTGCACTTTCTAAATACGTAATATCTTCAGTAGTGGGCCCTCGAAACTTTTTTATTCATACAAGCGAAGCCGCAGATTACAATAAATAATTTAATAAACTTGTTATGGAATTGGTCAAGAGCATACATTGACTTGTAATGGTAAGAAACTTCCTCTGCGTTTACGAAATTCATCCGAATATCTTTGATCACAGAGTACTCATTGTAAACACGTTGAAACTTTGGAATGTATATATAATTCTTACAGTGTATTAAATTTGAAATATGTAACAGTTTTAAATAAAATACAAAGTTCCGAGGAGTGTATCTTGATAAAGTGGGGCTCTTAACTTAATCAACAGTTTTACATTAGTGTTTCACAATTTTGCGTAACTTTGGAGATATGGATCCATCCATACCTTGTTAAATGATGTGGTGTAAGTAGTAGGAAATGCGGTAGCGCCTCAAAGCAAGAAGAGGATTGCGGTTATAATGGAAAATAGTGGTATGTAATGTCTGTTTGGCATTAGTTTCGTTAAGTGTCACATGTAATTACAACGTTTAAAAGTACACTTATAGGTAACCAGGCTAAGTTACGGTGTCTTACTTAACCTCAACAAAGATTTTTGTTTCGCCAAGCAAGTCAAAAAATTTGGATTCTGTTACAATATCAACACTTTCAAAGTAAGTGATATTTTTAATTAAAAGATATGTAAAGGACATATTGAGTACAATGCGTGGAAAGGGGTGTTTGATTTATCGTGAGGCATGTGTATCAACATACATCATTATGTAGTAACCATTTTGATATCATATTGCGTTGACTAATCAGTAGAATTTTGTGCCTAGTACCTTCAGTCATTCATAATCAATTAGGACGCAATGAGCAGCAGGCTTCTTTGCTTAGAATAGTATAGGATGTAGGAAAATTAAGCATTCACAGGTTCTGGCAGAGTCGATCTTACATTTGGTAACACTTTTCTTTTTCCCGTTATCCTGTTTGTTAGTTGAAGGTATTCATATAGATTTGAGAGTACTACTCCCATAAATTATAGGTTATTTATGAGTTATGTAAAATGATAACAGTAATGCACAGATTTTGGCCTGTATTCAACCATAGTTGGTGCTGACAACTTTTGCAGTATTTTATTCTTCTGTCACTTAGTTTTAGCTCTTAATTACATGCTAGCATAGCTAATAAAACCTTATGAACCCATCCATGTCTTTGTGTGTGTGTGTGTGTGCGGGGGGGGAAATTTTTCAGCATAGGAACTAGACAAACTTTAGGGCTTCTACAAGGGGTAAAGTAAAACCATGGGAATTGCAGTCCAAGGGTTTCTGCTGCTCCGGAGGGACTACAGCCTAGGATTTTCTTCAACAGGGATTTGTGCTTATTTTCTTCATGGCTTGAATTGACTCAGTTTGGGAATAATGTGATGGAAGAAAACATACTGTCCTGAATAAACCTGAATTTTTTTCTTCATAATTATCAACATAATTATTAACCTCAGGATGAGGGAAATGATTAAAGGATGAATAAACAGACTGACACTTTAGATTTGGTAGAGTTCTAACAAGGACATGATGATTCTTCTATGACTTATTGAACTTTGGATTTGCCTGGGAACAGATTTGTTCTGCACCGGATGGGATGTTCATTTTATGGAGACACTGCTGTAGGAAAACATTTTGTTGTTTGGACACCTTCATTGTGAGTTTATAACATTAAAATTGTTGTTTTCAACATGTAAGCTAGTACTTTAAGTTAAAAAGGTAAGTTATTGTACAGGTTGGCGCACGAAATGATGCCCTGTTTGTTTTAACGATAAATCAGCAACCACGTTACGGATGATGGAGATACCATTAGGTGGTATATGCATCACCTAGCTAACGCGAGGTGATTATGTCGCGGTTTCCCACCAGTATGCAGAAGATAACAGACAAGGGAAGATTTACTCAACAGGATGGCACAGTGTTGGAAAAGAAATGTGGACGTGCCGCAAGTGTGAGTAGCCATGCAAAGAAGCCCGGGAAAATCAACCCGGAAGGCTACACCACACACAGCAAACGTTTTCTTGGACTCCCTGCACGACACTTTCGGTCCACGTGTGATTTCCCACCGATATCCTGCTCACCACGGATGCGGACAGAAGTGGCCACCCAATAGTCCGGACATAAACCCCTGCGATTATTTCCTTTGTGGTTACCTTAAGGAAAAACCGTTTCCAAAAAAACCAGCCTCAGTCATGCAACTCGGCTTTGATTGTTCAAATGTGTGGTGAAATTACGGAGGATATGTGCCGTTGAGTAATCATGAACGTAGCCTTTCGTGTTTAGGAAGTTACACGACAGAACGGTGGTCATATTGAGCATGTAATCCATAAAGGATAAATCTCCATGAATTGTTCTTTGTGTTCATAGATTTATATGTACAATTATATGAATATTAAAGCCTTTATTTAAACTTTCAGTTGGGTATCATTTCGTGCGCCACTCTGTATATGAGCAGAATGAAGATTTGTCACAAAAGCTTGACCTGCATCTAGTGCTCTTAATCCTTGTGACTGTATAAGGTAAAATAACAAAATTGGAAAGTTGAAGCAAAGAAAGGAATTGTTGTCATTGCTTACTTTCAGATATGTTATCTAATTCTTTAGGCCATGTTGAAACGGCAGTGTGTAGTGATGATTCGCCTGACATATTTGTCGATTGTTCACCACTAGAAGAAGAGTTATCTTCAGATGTGAAAATACAGATTGAAGGTTAGTATTTAACTCAATTTCTGCAGCATGTATTGCTCGTCATATTAATTTCTTCAGCATTTTACCATAATTTTTTACATTTCTTTTAACAACCATTTACATACTTAATGTCACAACCAAGTGGTTAACACGCCTACTTGATGGTCAGAAGTTACCAGATTCAAATCTTGAACCACTGATTTATGTTTCTTGTGGTTTTTCTCAGTCCCTCTAATCACATGCTGGGATAGTGTCATGAATTAGGCATGACCTCTTCCTTCTATATCCTCTTCAATTTATTAATCATCCTATCAGTTTTATACTGTATAGTCTGTGCTGCTTACAGCCTCATTAAATAAGATGTAAAGAAAAATATAGAATCTCTTATATTACACTGCTCGGAGCATTGTACACTTCTAGAGTAAGCACAGTTTTTGATCATTCTTTATTCTCATTTGTATATTTCCTTGTAATAGGAAGTTCTAGGAAGAATATTTTATCTATAATTCTTTCTCTCTGGATTAGAGTGGTGTACACCAGTTTGTGATACATGAATTTTGTAAATGTGTTTCTTACACTTTAGGTACTGCAGATACACATCTTTTGTATCATGTCTGGTGTCAGTAGTCTTAAATTATTTTACTTTATGTTATTTACCATATGAACAGATGTTTTAAATGAAAGTTAGAAGTGCTAATGAAATCTCTATATTTATGTTATGTTCCACTTTGTTGTACCATGGACTGTATTTGAGAGAAGTTACTTTCAGTTTGAATTTCATGTAAAATAATAGTAACATTTGGACACAATGTCAGCCTTTGAGACCAAAGATGTATCATAATTATAATCCTACTGCTCTGCATATGCAGAGTAATGTCTCAGATGTTAGTAAACAGTCTAGTGGTATCAATTTTCAATACAGGTGACTCCTTGTATGTAATTTTGCTACCTTTTTGCATATTTACATTTTTATTTCAGTATAATGAGAAGCATCAATACTTATCCATGCTAAATTTCATATGTTTAAATATAGTCGTTCCATAAATTCAATAGAAGGTTTCCTGTGCATTGGTGGTATTTTGTTTCAGGTGATAACATGTCAGAAGGTGAGAGTGAA